GTCCCTAATATTGTGATCTTTTTTTAAAGAACACGATTTGTAAATCTGCCTTGTCCCAGTACAAACATTCAAAAGTTGAAATGTTTTAAAAAACAATTTTCTTATTTCTTTCATGTGCAATTTTATTATAGGTACCATGGCAAATTCATTAATTATACCATGACAACTTTTCCAATTAAACTATGGCAGTTTTGTGGCAACTACCATGGCAGTTTTACTATTTACATCATGACAATTTTATCAATTAGACTATGCCAGTTTACTATTTACATCATGACAACTTTATTAATTAAATAATGGAAAATTGTATTGTCTTATAAACCTTTTTCTCCTACATATATGGTAATTCTAGATATGTCGTAGCTTACCCATTTTATAGAAGGATGAATCATGCCATCTTTTAGGGGTTATGTATAGTACACTTGAACTGTTCAAAAATATATTCTAGTGTTAGTGTCAGAGCATGGCAAACTTTTTGTGTGTAGCAATACATATAAATTTGTTGTTCTATTTTTTGTGTTTTTTCGCATTTTGCCATGTCACCATAGACCATGTTTTATCGTGCCAGCAAATTTCAGCGTATGCTTCTGTATCGTGCTATGACAAATTTGTTTTATACACTATGTCAAATGTATTTTTGTCTGTATTACTTTATCTGTATCCTGAATTATCTATTTTTTGTTGATGGCAATTTTATTTTTTTTGAAAAACAGCTAATTGGCCAACCCCTTTTTCCTCACGTGATCCCTATTTTCCGGGCCAGCTTGGTCACGTTAAAAACTCCCTGCAGCGATGTCTGAGGGGTCAATATTGCTTCCATTGTTCTTACCCTCCCAGCATGAACCAATCGTTCTTGCCCGTAACAGCGAAGGCAGACTACTAGTGTCGCGGTGCACTGGCTACCAAGGGGTGGATGATTCCCTAACAGTGGAGATTTTGGCTTGCAGAGATGCTACCTTGCTTGCGAGGGAGAAGCACTATCAGAATGTGATAGTCGAGACAGATTGCCTCAATGTTGTTCAGCTATGGGAAGGTAGGCTGGGAGGCAAATCGAAGGGGTTCCATATCTTCCAAGAGATGCAGGAGGAGTTGCCGTTTTTCAGGGATTTCAGCTTCGTTATGCTAGCCGTCTAGTGAACTCTGTTGCTCATACTTGTGCTAAGGAAGCTTTAGTTGTACAGAATGTTGCTACATACTCTAATGTAATCCCTGGCTTTCTGAGATGCGTTGTGCACTCAGATTTGCTACCGCTGAATGAATAAAATCCGGAGAGCGGAGATTTCAAAAAAAAAGCGTGAACCAATCGTTCGCTGAGGCATCCCTCTCACCTGACGTTCACCATGTATTGGCGTGCTTGTTTTTTAGGACAAAATGCAGCTAGTATACAAAACCAGGATTTCATTTTATTCTCAAAAAACCCAGAACTAATTTTGTATACACTAGACAAAACCAGAATGCCGAAATTGTATGATAACCCGCCTTATGATGCATGAACCCAGTTAGTATACACATTTCACATTTTTAAAATATGCCGTGAACATTTCTGCAAATATATGTTTTGTTGAGATACATTGTATAATTTTCATATACATCTAACACATTATTAATTACATGATTATTATTTTCCAAACACATGCTTTGAACTTTTTTTAGTACATGTTGAAATATTTTTCAATGGTTTGAAACCTTTTTTGAACTGACCATAATATTTTTCATTGTCTTAACATCTTTTCAAACACGCGAACAATTTTGGAAATATAACATTTTTTGAATTACATGAAATAAAATTACATTGTAAAGCATTTTCTAAAAATGCCATGTACTTTTTTTTAAACGTGTGAGCATTTTTTATATGTCACAAACATTTATTTGAAAGCTATTAACAAGACAGTTATGTTAACAAGACAGTTACACTGCATTAGCACTTTTCAAGTTTGCGTTATTCAATTTTTATAAGGACATTCAGTTTTGGATATGTCTTTGGAGTTTTTCAAAAATATAAATAAAATAAAACAAATAAATGAAGAAACATAAATGAAAAACAAACTATAGAAAGTCGGTCCAGCCTAATACGAGTGACTGAGAGGGCACTCCTTCAGGCGAGACCTAGTTCGTCTAGTATGAAACGAGACATAGCTGCGCCCGGCACACTTAGCATAAAGTTGTGGAGGTAACGCACAGAGTGTCTGCCCTCTCGTTAGGTTTTCTTTCACGGTGATTTCCTTGGCTCAGTTTTCTCCCCCCTAGAAAACCAGCCGTTAGCTTTTACATCAATAAAAATGCAAAATTAAAATTAATGATGATTATTTTACAAACATATTTTTGTAAATTATACTGCCTCTGTTTCTACACCCGGAAAAAAAATACTCCCTCTATTTCTAAATATAAGTATTTTTAGAGATTTTAATATGGACTACATACGGAGCACAATGAGTGAATCTACACTCTAAAGTATGTCTATATACATCCCTATATAGTCCATATTGAAATCTCTAAAAAAAACTTATATTTACGAATGGAGGGAGTAGAAAACTATTCTGAAATTTTAGAAAATCTTCATGAATTTTAAAATTGAACCAACATTTTAGTTAAAATTTTAAAAATATTCTTGAATTTCAACAAATATTGATAAACACAAGATAGCTATATTCTTAAAAATATTCATGTAATTGTTTAATATAAAATATTCATATATTTTACTTAATATTCAAAAATTTAATAAGATCGAAACAAGAAAATGTTCATAAATTTGAAAATGGAACATGAATTTAAAAGGGGTAAAAAGGAATAAGAATCAAAAAGAAAATAAGAAGAGAGAGAAATTGGAAGAAACCAAATAAAAGCTGGCAGAAAAGGAACATATAAAGGAAAGAACTACAAAAAAGTCGCCTGCTAATAACAAAACAAACTGCTTGAATGTAAGTAGCCCCCTGTTGGGCCTGGTACATGTCGGATCTCCCAGTGTGTTTCCTCGAAGTGAATGTCTCAGAGTTGGGAGTCGGCACAAGCACCAAAACATTATCGAAGTAGCTAATACCCCACCCGTTGCTACCGGAATTGGTTGCAATATATTATTTTGATGAGATTTGGATGTCTGAAATTTGAATATGGGAATGAGGATAAAGATATATATATATATATATATATATATATATATATATATATATATATATAATTTAATTATCATATAGATGTAAAATATTTATAAAATATAAGCAATATTTCTCATGCATGTTGACAGAAATAAAAGTAATGTGGTTGATGTAGTGAAATGTGTGCTTGTTGAAAAAAGCAGTATAACTAGCATTTCTGATGCATGAAGTTTCTCATACATGTTCAGAGAAAGAAATGTAGTGGGATTGATGACGTGAGATGCATGAAGTTTCTCATACATGTTCAGAGAAAGAAATGTAGTGGGATCGATGACGTGGCAGATGCGATTAGATGGTATGTATGCATGTTGTGATAAATGAAAATAGTAAAAAGCATGATGGACAGAAGCATTTGGTTTTGTCGACACAGATTAGCCGTTTGCACTTGTACGAGTAATTGTTTCGTGTTATTGTCCAACAACTTTCTTTTAGTTCTCATTTGTTTTCCTTGACAGTGTACACTTGTACCAGCATTATTAGTACCAATACACACGCAATATCTTACGGACGAAGCAACAAGTTTGTTTTATTTGAGAATTACCAGTACTTTAGTCTTGGTGAACACACATCCCACATCTTAAGTAAGCTATACTTTACTTAGAACCGGAGCATTAACAGCAGGGAAACATCAAACAAACATGGCGCCAGTGAGTAGTGACACGCCATACCTTTATAGGCAACCACTACAAAAACAAAGACGATCCGCTAGTCCTCCAGTGTCATTTCACTCTCACCTTCTTGCTTGGGCGCATGGCAAACCGGACAAGTCATCTCATCCGAATCTCTGATCACCGTGGTAGGTAGGTCACACCAATGTACAGTGTAAATGCACAAAGGATGATGATGCACGTGCAAAAGCATAAGAGAAAACATAATTTTCTTCACAAAATAAATCTGCAGGAACATGATTCATACGATATTTGCTTATTGGGGCCCACGGTAGATAAGTTGTCTGAACTTTTTTGGGTGTAAGGTCAACTGTTTGACCCATTAGATTTGAACTCAAGGGCTCTCGTATGCTCTTCCTCCTCTAGCTCTCCTTCCACCCGCTTGATCCAGCGCCGACCAAACTGCTTGTTGCCGCCATTACCGTCCGGCGGTGCTCTAACACGCGCCTGGCCGCCCCCTTCCCGCTCTTTTCCGCCGTGCTGCTGCCGCCGCAACCTTTCTTATGTGCCCTGACCGGCCTTCTTCTCTGGTGTCGGCAGCCCATCCCGCACCCCGAGTCCCCCTCGGCCCTAGGTCGCTTTCGGCTCGGCTTTCCTGACGACCGCGCACTTCACCTATCTTTCTTCTTCCTCCTCCTCCAGAAATTGGCTTACACCAGTTTATTTTTCAGACAACTTACAAATAGCAAATTACTTTTTTTTTCTACCGATGTTTGATAGGGTACGTACTTTTATGAAAAATATAATTTTTTTATAAAACTATAGGAGTGAGTGACAGGGGCTCTCGAGAAAAGTTCAAAAGAGGAGAAAAGCCGCACATGGATGGATCGGATCAGATCCAGCAACGCTGTAGTCCACTCCACTGGGATTCTCGCCGCCGCCGCTGCTGTCCAGCTTGCATTCTCCCGTTCCGTTGAGGCTCAACGGCCGGCTCCCATCACCGGCCACGTGTCGCGCATGGGCCCGGCCCACCCACCAACCGAACAACCAGCTCCCTCAATCACTGACGAGGCAACAACGGCAGTGCGTGTCCGGGCCCACCCGTCGGCCACGGAGAGGGCCTCGATGGCCCACGCCTTGCGTGCCAGGCGCAGCTCGCAGCGGCAACCGCCCGCGTCTCCCGGCCCTTTTATCCCCGCCGCTCCCCCCCGCACACGGCACCGGGGAACGGAGCGGAGCCATGGCGGATCACAGCGACGGCCCGGCTGTCGACATTGTTCGAGAAGATCCAGACGAGGAGGAGGAGGAGGAGGAGGAGGAGGAGGGGGAGGGGTTCACGTTCGCGGCGGCCGCGCGTGTGGGCGACGGGTGCGCGATCGGGCCCGTGTACCTGGTCTTCGGCCGCCCGCGTTCGCCGGCGGAGGAGGAGGTGGAGGAGGATGCCGGCACGGCGACCGTGCGGGTGCCGCTGAGGCAGCTCCTCCTGGAGGAGCGAGGGTCCTCGTCGTCGTCGGGGAAACGGCCGGACGACGACGGAGGAGAAGACGACGAGCTCGACGGGGTGCCGGTGGAGACCTACTGCCTGTGGTCGCCCGGGACCTCGCCGTCCCCGTCCCCGTCGCCGTCGCGGTGCCAGAAGAGCGGGTCGACCGGGTCGGTCCTGCGGTGGCGCCAGCGGCTGCAGGTGGGGCGGAGCCAAAGCGACGGCAAGGAGAAGTTCGTGTTCCTGCAGGCACAACAGGACGCCGCCGGCTCCCCCGGCAGCAGGGGAGGGACGGGGACCGGCGAGCCGCGCGGCCGGGGAGGAGTCCACGGCTGGAGCCACCGCGGCAGAGGGGGCAGCGGCAGGGGGAGCCCTGGGCGCAGGGCGTCGACGTTCCTCCCGTACAAGCAGGACCTCCTCGGGCTCTTTGCCAACGCCGGCGCCTTCCGCCGGAGCTACCACCCCTTCTGACCAACTGACCAACGTCAGCCGTCAGCGTGCATCGATCTCTCGCCGATCGGGTGGTTGCCCTGCATTCTTTCTTTCTTTCTTTCTTTCAGATTGTGATCCCTGATGAGTACACGGCGTGTAGAATTTCTTGGGTTCTTTTCGTACATATACAGTGACAGTAGCTGGTACGTAGATCAGATCAAATCCAACATTGTGAGTATTTTGTACAGCAATTTCTTCAGTTGCAAATTGAGTTGCGGTGACAAGAAATTCTTTGCAGTTAAGCAAACGTTCCCAAGAAATTGTTCACGGCACATCATCTCCCATGATTTGTGTCTAAATTACGCATGAGCCAAAGTCTTAATTAGGAGTAGTACGTATTAGGTAAGCAGCGCAACGAGCTGCAGTTGCCGCCGCGTACGAGCTGTCCATGAACGAATACGGTCGTGAGGCAGGAGGTTCAGGCGAGCGCGTCGATCGACCTTCTCGGTGCTCACCTACTCAGACTGGCGCTATCGATGCTTCCTTCCCCAAACTTTACTCTTCGGATTAGTGGAGCTAATTGGGCAGCTCGCTGGGTTAGGCTAGCTCGTAGCTGGTCACGATCGTGCTCAGCCTGGGCCCTGAACGTACGTAAGTGGCCGCCGGAGCCACACAAATGGAAACCGGATAATTATCCTCTGCCATCTAATTAAACTTTGCAGTTTTGAGACATGGCTAGCTAGAACGGTAGCTGGCCAACGCAGCTGGTGCAATGAGAGTCCATTTGGAACGCCGTCGTTCATCACAGAGGGAAAGTTGTCTCAATTATGCGGAGTTCTCTATAAAATCCCCATATTTATGGGAAAACTGGCTAAATTGCTATAAAATTTTAAAAAAATTGCTTCGTTGTGTCTCCAATCACAGTGGGAAGTCATTTTGGTATAGTCTTGTCCACACACACAAAAAAACGTAGTTATGTACTTCCCACACACACAAAAAAACATAGTTATGTACAACAAGGCCGAATTATTGATTGCAATTTTTGTTAGTGATTTGGAGTATCTACAGTCACACGCCTCAAACCCGCCTCATACACTCAGGCAGGCCGCTCGGTCACTATCACGGTTTTTTACACAGAAGAAAATCTCAAACGACCAGGCTAACTGGCACCCTCCATATCCATCCAAATATGGAGCGCCCCCGGGCGCCCGGGTGAGCCCGCCACGTCGGATCCGGCCCACGCTGGTCTATCCGACCCCACATAAAATCCTCTCCATCTGCTCACCGGACCAAACCCTAGCAACTTCACTTCCCTCCCCTCCTCTCCCCTTTGCCACCCAAACTCGTCTCCGACTCCTTCCGGTCGTCTCCGGCATGGTGGACAACGGATCCGAGTCCTTCACCAACAGATCCGTCGACCCTGAGGAGGAAATGGTCGTCTGGCTTGCGCTCCGCAACGCCCGGGAGGAGGCCCGTGCACAGCTACGCTCGGACTCCATCCGTCGGGAATAGATTGCGTCTGCCCAAATAGTGCATGGATCCAGTGCTAGGCCGACTGTAGCTGCCTCACCAGAGGCCGTGCGGTCCGTCTGGCGTTCGAACGCGCTGGCAGACACGCAACCCCTCCGGTGGTGCGTCGATATTCGGGACGCACCATCGTCCCACGAGGCCATGGCACGGTGTGCCCGCCGTGCAAGGCACCGGGTACGGGAGACGACGGCGGACGTCGGCGAGGCGGAGTCGCATTCTCCTGCGCCCTGTATGGCTCATTAGTCTAGGCGACGCAAACGCATCGTGCTGGACGTCGGTGGCTCGTCCCCGAACAAATTCATCATCGATTTGACGTCCACCAGCACCCTACGTGTTTCGGGCTTCGATGAGGAAGAGTAGGGCATGGGAGACGGTGGCGCCTTGAGTCCCGTGAGCCTGCTCGTGTCCAATGCCCTGCCCTACCTTGCTGACGACCGGACCAACACTCTTAGGGGCGCATCCAGCAGCCGGGCATGGCCGAGCGGGCGGGAGCGGAACCGGACGAAGCTTTCGTCAAAGATCGTCGCGTTACATGTAATAGTATGGATTTGAGGTATCCGGATGTGAAATGCATTTTTTAGGGGTGACCAGTCATTATCAACAGACGCGCCCGGGCGTTTGAAGGGTCAGATTTAGCATGTCCGGCTATAGATGCTGTTACCAGGCTGACCGTTTTGGTAAGGCCGTGATGAAAAGCCCGGCCATGACATATTTTTTCTTTCTTGCATGAGTGGTAGAAGATTCACTCTTCGATTTGTTTGGCAAATAAAAATGCTGCATTTATAATCAGTACACCGCAGACTAGGGGATCAAACAGGCCGTGTTGAGGAGTGACTTCTCACTATAGATGTGAGGGCGGCGGAGGAGATTGATATAAGCGTTTGCGCTCATACCGGGAGAATGTGACTATATGAGACACTAAATTCGACCTTAAGAGGGATCGAACCTATTTTTTTCGTTTCAAATTACTCGTCGCAGAAATGAATGTATGTAGGACTAAAATACATTTAAATACATTCATACCTGCGACAAGTAATTTGGAACGGAAGGAGTAGGTCAGTGGGGCGACACCACTGCGCTCCCACCACTGAGCTTTTTTTTTTTTGAGGATACTCCCACCACCGAGCTATCAGCTCATCCACTCGTCGTCTCTTCTGATGCACCAGCTGCAATTCTTCCAAAGAGGGAAACTGTCCCTTGCTGCCCAAGTTGACCAGGTATTGTCCCATTTCCTTCCAAAAGAATTTAGACCTGCTCAACAAGGAAACAAGGTTTCTGTATTTCACAAAGTTTATTGCTAGTTGAAAGCGAAAACCAGCAAAATCCCTTCGATAAACAAAACAATGTACCCAATGAAAAATGTCAAATTATAGAGCCATCAACACCCGTGCCACACTGGGCGAGGCAACACAGGGCCCAACCGCAAACTCTGCTCGAGCATAAGGGTTCCGAGGAAAGCCATCCCACTACTGTATTCCATCCATTCCATACGGGGTCGAAATGGGAGTGGCATTATCTTTGCTCGCAGCGAGCGCAAGCGTCCCCTAGCCTCAAGTGACGAGCTAATGGGTTGGCCTAGTAGGGTGCTCCTTCATTTGTTAGTTAGTTATTTTCTTTTTAAATTTTTGTTTAAAATTTGAGATAAGTATATATACATCTCAAACATTTATTTGAGCTATTTTTTTCGAAATGTTCATGCAGTGTAAAAAAATTGTTCACACAACTTTTAAAAAATGTTGATAGCACTAAAAACACATTTCATGATATTTAAAAAATGTTGACGCGTTTTGGAAAAACTTCTTGTCTTTTATTTTTTAAATAATATAATTTTTCTTACATTGTTTTGAAAATATTTCTTTTCATTTACTAAAATGCTCTCATATTTCCAAAATATGTTAGTTATATTATATAAAAATGTTCACATAGTTTATAAAATGTTTCCTACTATTTAGAAAATTGTTTGTGACATTTAAAAAATAGTTCACACATTGCGAGAATATGTTTGTGACATTTAAAAAAAATGCAGATGTAATTACTTTGCGTTGTTTAAAAAATGTTTCATTAATTCGAAAAATAGTGTGTATTTGAAAATGTTTAAAATTTATTTGAAAATCAATTCAAACATGTATTTGAAGTAATATTCATCATATATTTGAGAAATGTGCATCCTAAAATGTTATACTTGTATAAGAAAAAGTACAACATGTATTGATAAAATTTGACATGAATTTGAATAAAAAAATACAATACAAAAATAATTATGAAAACCAATCAGAAAACATAAAGGAAAAAACTGCACAGGAGCTTATAAAAGCGTACCGAACAGGTTCATAGAAGCTTCCCAAAATAGCTCCTAGCAGCTGCAATATTGGTCCGGCCCACTAACCTTGCGCCAGAGGTTAGACCAAAGAATCTCTCAGTACGGTAGGGGCGAGATATAGTCCGAATAGTTTTCCTAGGTAGGTTGATGAGCTTGTTCGTGTCCGATGTGGACATGCCCAACGTGTTCGTTAGTACGGAGTACTACTGTGTTGTGCCATGCTCATGCTAGTTCGAATCCGTGCTGTGCCATGCTCATGTCCGGGTCGGCTTTGTTAGGTGCCTACTGGTCCGGGTCCGTACGTGTCATATATGTGCATATGGAGCTATCTACCGTGAGTTGTGAGACATAGAAAGAAAAGAAAAAGGGTAATGTTTGTATCCAGTCATACGGCTACAGTGTGCCTCCCAGAGTTGCTACCACGGGCTGCTCTGGTCTCAGGATGCTACAACCGGCCACCGAGGTTGCCATGCCCATGCCCGGTGACACTACGATGGCCACATGATGATGTGGACGGCGACGACTCTCTGGTTCGTGCTGCACCGAACACAGCCAGGGTTGGTGGCGATGGTGATGCTCTTCTTGGAAGAGCGTGAATGGCCGGGGAGCGCGTGCGGCCGGGGGAGACCAGGAGACAAGCACGAGTGTCGTCGATGGCCAGCAAGCGCGGGTGGCAGTGAGCGATTTTTCGTCGAAAAGAACCAGCCGACGAACACAATTGACAAAAAAGACCACCTACAGATTAATTTGGCAAAAAAGACCACCCACGCTGTGGCGGCGGGTGCGCCAGCCGACGCGTGGCACCTGCCGCCACGCCAGCAGGCGGCAGCACCTGCCGCCACAGTGGTAGGCGGCAGCCAGCCAATAACAGCCAGCGCCGTGTCAGAACGGAACAACGGGAAGTAGGTGGGCCCTGCCGCCTTAGGGCGTGGCGGCAGGCCTGCATGGCCGCTGCTGGTACTGCGTTGCGCGACCCACACGTACAGCTTGCCTGTAGTACTACTCCTACGTAGGCCTGCCGCCATGCCTTAAGGCGGCAGGGCCCACCTGCGTCCCACCGTTCCGTTCTGACGCGGTGCTGGCTGTTATCGGCTGGCTGCCGCCTGCCACTGTGGCGGCATGGGCTGCCGCCTGCCCGCGTGGCGGCAGGTGCCACGCGTCGGCTGGCGCGCCCGCCGCCACAGCGTGGGTGGTCTTTTTTGTCAAATTCATCTGCATGTGGTCTTTTTTGTCAATTGCGTTCGCAAGCTGGTCCTTTTCGACAAAAAATCGGCAGTGAGCAGAGTCTCGGCCATGGTCACGAGCTATTTTTTTAGAACCAGGCTTTTTACCCTTTTTCATTGCAAAGAACGAAAATACAACCAGTTCAAGCTAGAAGAATGGAAATACAACCATGGTCCCAAGCTATTGGTCAACGGGGACGCGAGATCTGGATGGAGGCATGAGGACCAAGCGTTTTCTGCGTAAAGGAACGTGGAGATATATATAGATCTAACGGGTATTATACGACGAATCCAACGGACGCGCGGTGACCGGCGCCTATCGTCCGACAGAGAAAGAAGATAGAGAGAGACCAGAGGCACGAGAGATTGATCGCCTTGAACAAAACGCAACAACGGGTGGAATGCATCCAGTTTATATTAGCCGTCTATATCGTGATCAACCTTTGAAGTCAGATGGGCGTGCCAGAGTGGAAGGCGAGGGCGATGGTTTCTCGTATAAAGCCGCTCATGGTTGGTTCCGGGCCGAGTACGGAGGGAAACGGCGGTGACTTCACCTTCGCCATGGATGCGCCTCCGGCGAGCGGCGGCATCCACGGCTCCTTGCCGGAAGAGTGGCTCCACGCGGTCGATCCTCCGGTGGAGCCAGCGGCTCTTCGGCCGGAGCCACACGGACGACGATCGATGAGAAGTTCGTGTTCTTGGATGCTGGTGGCGTTGGCGGCCACGCGCACGCCTGGAGCTATTATGCGAGGAAGGGTGGTGGCAATGACGGGCGCCGGAGGTCGTATCTCCCGTACACGCAGAACCTCGTCGGGCTCTTCGCCAGCACCACCGCGTTCCGGCGGAGCTATCACCCGTTTTGACTTATAAGATCCGTACAGTATTTGATCTACACGCGTGCTACCGTGTCAATGCATGATTGGAAAATTTTCCTTGTCTGTTTCTGAAGTATAGTGCGTAAACGAGCTTGCTGCAGCACAAAGCATACACTGAATCTATATGTTCATTCAATTCATTGATTTAAGAATTGGTTTCATATATTATCAAAGGGAAGTTTGTCAAGAATCATGATAGTAGGTGGATTTTTGGCCCTTGGTGCAACTACAATTAGTTGATTGTTTTATGCCCTTTGAAGGGAGATTAATATTTTGTTTATACACTCGTCCTTCCTCATTGTTTGTTTCTAAGTTGGTTCTCTGTTTTTAGGTGTTTTCTGAATTTTGTTAGGGTTTGTGTCATGATCAAGAAGATGAGGCGGCGCCGGCTTCTTGAAGATGAAATAAGATTCTCTCCGCCTAGCCCCGTCTCGGAGATGCTTCAAGCGTCATCGGAGGGCATGTGAAGGTGTGTCTCCGGCGGATCCTGTGAGATCCGGTTGGCGTTTGTGTTTGCTGGATCCTTCTGGATCCGGTCTTCGTTTGTCTACGTCCATGTGTCTGCAGGTTGGATCCTTTCGATCTATGCTTCTCTTCATCGGCGCAGTTGCTGTTCTGGTGTGCTGGTCCTATGAAGGCTTAGCACGACGACTTCCCGATTGTCTACTACAACAATGTTTGCCCGGCTCTGACGAGGGAGGGGCAATGATGGTGGCGCGCCTTCGGCTCGCTTTAGTGCTTGTAGTCGTCGCTAGATGGTTTACGGACCTAGATGTAAATTTTACTTCTAGTGTGTTTTGTACTACCTTGACTGTTGATAAATGGATTAAAAGTTTTCTCATGAAAAATATTTTATTTATGCATTCCTTCCTCTCCCGCAGCAATGGGATGATCAAGCTATTACATCTTAGAAACCGGCAGCTTAACCGACAAACCAGGTGAACCGACAATCCAAACCGCTCATCGGTTCGGTTTATTTTATCACTATGCTCCCAACTAGCTATCCTAAACTGGCCCAACATCATGTGAATCCTTGCTCTTGCTTCCTCCGCAGTATGCAACACCATCTATCTCCTTTGAAAAACTATAACTGAAATCATCGCCTCCTCTTTCAAAAGTCGCTAAACATCTAAAAATCAATCTCGGCCGGTTTTCCTTTGTCCATCATCTTTCACAAAACTATGTTCATCCTTGTGGACATTACAATTGACGTTGCAACTGCCATCACCACATAACTTGCTTGCTCTGTCTCCACCTTCCTCTAGGCATACTCTGCCTTCCGCCTTTCAAGTTTCAACCCATCATTGAAAACCCTCCAAAACTATCTCAGTTGTTGGCGCACAAAAATCATAACTCAGGTTGTTTGACCTTACTTCCATCCTTTCTTGATGCCCTTTCTGTCCACATCATGTATGCTCTCCGTCTCTTACTAAAAAATGATCTAAGGCCTAGGCGTGATTTCTTTCAGGCGGGTGTGGAAACATGGATAGGGGAACTATGTTTAATTGTTTGAAAAATTATTGAAAACAAAAAGGTTTCAATGGTCTAGGCATCAAAGATTTTATTAGTCAAAATAATTGCCTCCTTATGAATTTTGCGTTCAATGCTCCTAACATGCTAAACCTCCCCTGGGTGCAATGTTTCAACAGTCCTCGAATATTGCCACTCCCACCTCTCAACCCTTTCCTCTGGAACAATATAAACCAACATGATTCAGAGTATCCCAGAGACATCACACTAACTCACTATCAAGTCCAATTGGACCCATGACAAGGGCTTGTACACGAGACATACAAAGCAAGGTGACTTCACTCCTCTTTGAGCTCCCTATGAATTTGAATGAGACATAGCTGCTACCTCAATCTAGAACCCTATGCGTGCTTAGGTGCAAAGGCAAGGACCGTGATCAGCTAGCTATGAAAAGAGTTCTGGAAACCATGTGAATCCATACAACCAGTTAGCTACGATTGATTGCTGTAGCTTCTCTTAAATTCAACAATATCTGATTTTTAGAACAATATCTAATTTCAGAACTGCTATATCTAAAGGTCAAACCATGGCATACATATTCAGAGAAAGAAGATAAGTTGTACTGCAGGCTCACATATCAGTTCAGTTTGGTTTGTATTACAGGTGGTCAGAACAACTAACTAATCGAGGAACAAGATAAGGGACCTGTTAGCGGATGGCCTGATGTGCTGCAGGTAGCCGGAATCGAGCGTCCTTGGTCGGTGGAGCAGGGAGCTTGGTCCAGGCGGCGACGACGCTCCTCCCCAATCTGTGGCGTTGACCTACCCATTCCGCGGCGGCGCTCCTTCCTTGCCTGTTGTGCGGCCCGGTGGTGTGCTCTTCTATGTTCCTCATGGCTGTGCGGTGCGGGCCCAGCCCGATGCGCCCCTGCAAGGCTACACCCAGTGGCCAACGAGAAGCGGAACCGCGCGTGGGGCGAGAGAGAAGATGGAGAGGAGCCTACCAGAGTCCATCGGAGCCACACCGGCAACGAAGGTGATGCCCAGCCCGAAACCAGGAGGGGGGAAGAGGCGGAGCACCTCCCGTGTGAACGCGGGGATGACAGCGGGGATCTGGCGGGCTGGGCGAAGGAGGAGGCGGTGGCGCGGGGACCAGATAGGGTAAGGGAATGGGAGGAGGCGGCATAGAGGAGGAGCTGGGCGCGGGGGAGGCGTGGGTGCGGGAGGGAGGAGGCGGCTAGGTCTCCAACGCAGGAGCAGTCGGCTTTTATACCATTTTACGTGAAATGACGAGAATGCCCTCAACAGGGTAGCGTAATTACGCGCGGTGGCACGGCCGGGCGGGACTCGGCTCATAGCGAAAATATCGGGCGGGTGGAGAAGACCGGGTAAAGATCCGACGGCCCACAGCGACCGAGCCCGAGATCCAACGGTCAGCAGCGACTGGTAAAACAGATCCGACGGCTGAAAATCCAAACGCATGGGGAGGCTCCATTTTAGTCCAGACTCTAACAATGGGATGCATTCACGCGGGACCCTCTCCCCGTACGTACGTGGTGATTGTTTAAAGAAACATCCATTTCAGCGTTCGTTGTCTCGATCAACTTTGAAGTCGAAGGCCGAGCAAGAGTGGAAGGCGTGTTCGTATAAGTATGCCCACGGACGGCTCCGAGTTGAGAGGAGCAGCTGAGCACCGCTCGTACTAGGACATGGCAGTACGTAGTTAGTTAGGGCGGGCGCGTGAGAAGAGAACCGGATGTTACAGTAGCTCTAGTAGCTGTAGCTAGAGCATGGAAGGCGCCGGCGACTTCACCTTCGCCGTGGCCGCGCCTCTGGCAGGCGCCGGCGGCCCACGGGTTGGCCCCGGTCTGCTCTACCCGGTCTTCGGCCAGCCGCGCTCACCGGCGCGCCAGCGGGCTCTGGAGACGGAGACGACGACGGCCACCGAGCGCGTGCCGCTCGGCCGGCTTCTGCTCGTCGACGCGTTCGGCTTCGGAGCAGGAGCGGAGCAGCAGCCGGACGGCGTGGACAAGCGGCCGGCAAAGACGTGCTCCTGTTCGTGCTGCCCCGGTTCACCGTTGACGGCGTCATCCCCGGCGCGCTGCCGGAAGAGCGGCTCCACGGGGTCGGTCCTCCGGTGGAGCCAGCGGCTCATCGGCCGGAGCCACAGCGACGGCAAGGAGAAGTTCGTCTTCCTGGACGCCAGCCCTTCCAACTCCGCCTCCAAGCGCAAGGGGGTCAGGAGCGGCGGCACGGATGCTGCCGGCGGCCACGCGCACGTCTGGAGCTCGTACGCGCACAAGGGCGGCGGCAATGACGGCCGCCGGAGGTCGTTCCTCCCGTACAGGCAGGACCTCGTCGGGCTCTTCGCCAGCGCCACCGCGTTCCGGCGGAGCTATTACCCGTTCTGACGACGTACTGGATCCGTAGAGCATTTGGTCTGCATGCATCCTACTGTTTGAGTTTGTACTCTGCTTGTTTGCTTGTTGTACTATTTTATCATCATATTGTATTATTGGTGACCTGAGCATGTAAAATCAATTTCATATGTTCTTTCTTTTTCGGGTGAATTTCATATGTTCCTTGAACTTCATGCAGTACACTTTGTTCATTCCACTAGTAAATTATAATCTCGCAACCACATGGAACACCTGCTGGGCCAAACAACACATCAAGCCTAAAAAAAGGAAACTAATGTCAACAACAGAAGCTTGACGAAGCGCGGATGACCCGCCACCACTGCCCCCTTCGGAGTCGTCCCACCACACACTCCAAGTACACCGAAACGCCGTGTACCAAACAACACCTTCAAGAAGGAATGCGACGATGACGACACTACTGCCTGGACATGTCCTAGGGTTTTCCCCGACACACGAAGGAAAGTGGGTAATGGGTACATCTGACGCCCTTCAGGAGTGAATGACGGCACCAATAGGCGGCACCGCGTTGGTGCCAGATGAGCCAACAAGGATTTCTCCCGACCCCCAAAACCACTACCCAGATGATCCGTGGTCTTCCATCCAGTTTCCCACCCACCAGCATGCACCACCACGGTTTGGATGCCACTCATGCCCTCTCACTGAGATCACCATCGCGAGGTCTAGAGGACGGAATATGGGAGTGCAAGGAAATGGGGATGGCAGCATCGAGGCCGCGTGGGAGGGAACTGCCTCCATCCGCGGGAGGTCACTGCCTCCAGCGCCGTCGCGGTAGCCGGCCGGCCACGGCAACAGGAGCATAGCAGGCCTTCGGGCCCGCAAACCTCCGCCACCATGCTGCAACAAGCCTGCGACATCGCCACCACTACCCAGAATCCCGACTCACCACCTTCACCTCTAGGGGCTACATCATCGATAGAAGAGCTGCCAGCCCGCCTTTGCTCAGATGGGGCCCAAAGGGGCCCATATCTGGGCCGAGCGGGTGCCGCCAGCCCGCGCCTCCGCTTAGCGCCGCCACGCCATAGACCACCCTCGCCAACACCAAGTCGCACCGCCGCCGCACCGGATCGTCGCTGCGCTGCGCAGGAGCACCTCCGAGAAAAGCAGGGGGCGCCGGCGCTGTCTGGGTCTTGCCAGGTGACGCACCCCGGCCACGGCGGGAGGGGGGTAGGGGGCAAGGCTCCGGGGGAGGCGGACGGTGGAGCAGCCGGTCGCCCGCGGGGGACAACCCGGTCGCGAGAGGGGGAAGAGGCTACTCCGTTGGTTTTTGAAGCAATTAACCAGATAATTAGTGCCCTTGCTAAATGAAAAACACTTCTCTCGTACAAAAAACAGCTTCCTTCGAACATGGAATTGTCCTCCACCATTTTTCCTTCCAAATCGAATTCAAACCAAATTCTTAGCTGATGAAACTATTACTATAGTACGTAGATGCAGCCTTCTTCTCTTGTTTTGTAACAAACTGTTAACCTTTTTGTTTTGTATTGCGGGGAGCATACGGTCAAACTTGATCAAATTGATAATGCAAGTTCAAGGGCCGTCTCCTTCGGGCACCAACTCTCCTTTCCCAAGCTTTACTCTTCGCATTAGTCGCACCAAAATTAAATTACATCATCCGATATGATCATATCATATCACGCGTCCGTGTCAGCCTTAATTAAGCCTAGCTGCGAAGCACGACCTAGCTTAGCAAGATTGTAAACGTTCCTTGCAGCCTACGACGCGTGCTGCCTCCGACATCGACCAAGCATACATATATAACTGCTGACACGCACGGATGCCTAGCCAGCAACGACACACACGTACATCTTGGTCGACATGTATACTGTTACTGCACAGTAGCAATACATATTTTTCCTTGACCCTTCACGTCACAACGCAATCAACCAGTAGATTTGTCTGGATATTTCCTTGGAGTGTATAATTGCCATGGCTAGGTCAAAGCTTATTGCGAGCAAGTTTAATTAACCGATGTGTTTGGAGTGGGACAAGACGGTGAACATGATCATCTTGTAGATCACCATAATAATACCAGCGAAAACGCCTGCCGAAGACTGGACACGTGATCACGTACGGGCCAACGACGGGCACATCGCCTACACCGCCGAGAAATGTACTCGTAGCCATACAGCCATACAGGCAATGGTCGCTATTTCAAATATCACTTTTACCACCTTTATCATGAGATTGTTATCCTTGCCGAGATGTGGTGACCGATGCATCAGACTTTTCTGAGATAAGTAGCAGCAGCTACAGTGTCACGTCGAGAGCAACGTCGTCTCCTTCAGTTCTCTCCTCCTTATGGATGTCCCAATTCCACGACAGGCTCGTAGGATACATTATTACGTGGCAGACAGCAACGTTAGCACTGTGTTTAATTGCACATTAGGACAACACATGACCTAGGTCATTAATCACTCGCCGGGTTCCGGATTAACACAAACCATTGCGGTGGCACATTTGAAGTGAGGCGTGACATCAACCCGCACGCAGTTCTCAGCATGGCCCAGCCATAAATACAATGGAAACAAGGAAGACCATCTAACAACTGTTGTGTTGGATGTATCACATACTACGTTACACACTGGGCTAAAATTTCAACGCCGCATATATGGGCACCAAGTGAAGATTGTTGGGAAAGCTAGCAAGCTAAAGCCTACAGGTACGTACTCCCTCCGTCCGAGAATACTTGTCATCAAAATGGATAAAAAGAGATGTATCTAGATAGCCGAATCCCATTCATTCTAATGCCTGAATAGGTGTCTCTCATGGTGTAATTTTACATATCGATTCAGCGAGAACTGAACCTTCAAGAACCAAACTCGTGGAACAGTCGTCGCCAAGGGTGAGGATACAGAGCACATGGAGGAGGGACGGAGGGGGAGGGCTCCATGTGATATATGGTGGGCCATGAGTGTCCATGTCCAACGTGGCGGACATCCTTACTCCCCCAAACCTTCCCTTTTTTGACGTCTATTTGCAACGTCAAAATCCTTTGTTGGTATTGTCCTTCCCCGTATTACTTGCTAGGTTTCATTCATACAATTAAAACGTACACTCACAAAATCTTGTCTAACAAATATTGCTCAAAGTCACAAAAAACATGCACCTGAATACTAACATATAGGAATAGCAAACTGTAGACATATGGGTTACAACATATCCAAGTGATGTTGTGAAACTAGCAGAGTAAGCCCATGGCAACCACTGATCCTCAGTGACCCGTAGCCGATGGCAATTCCACAAAAAATGGAACATAACTAAAATGGACCATCCATGAATTCGGTGCAGATAACATGCACTTTCTGATTATCCATGTCGTACGACAATGTCATCTTCTCCTTGTTGGTAAGGAAAATCACATTACAATATGGATGAATTGCAAACATCACACAAGAACCATTATGTTTGTGTTGATGCCTTCCAAACAGCTCCAAAACGTTAACATTGTGCTTTAGGGTTCACTTTCCAGTACCATAATCCTCAAGAACCCAAATATAAAGTTGACAATCATGAGAATTATCAGTACCATAATCCTCAAGAACCCAAATATAAAGTTGACAACCATGAGAATTATCTATCTTCCATGCATACAAGTGTCCTTGAGATTGTCCAACATCTCAACATCTTGGCAAGTCATCAGCTTACTCTGAACATAAGCCCACTGTCTGGTTTCTAATGAGTATATTGCCACTTTTCAAGCATCGTGCACACCAAGGATCTAAAGCGCGAACACCATGAAGTGGTACAGAACAACCGTGTGGAATCCTAAGAAAGCGTTTGGAATGGTTCGACCTGGATGTCCCGTCAGCACAGTCCATTCCTTGGTCGCAGAATTGCGCACAACATGATCGGGTCTGCTCGCAAAAGTCAAGCAAGAACAAAGGAGAAGGCCGCAGCTGACTTGTTGGACAAAAATGTGCTTGTATGTTGTGTGCAAGAATGGGAGAGGGCGGACCTCTACCATTCAAATTACGAAAATGGAGACTCAACGCCATTGATTATTATGTAAAAGAACCTAGACAAAGTGTGTGGCGACCTCTTACGGATATCCCAGCAGGAGTAGATGTGAGCCAGGGCTTGGACACGCACTTGAATCGGCATAGCGACATGTATGGCACTCGCGAAAGGATCTTCTGCTTCTGCTTCTTCTCCTGTAAATGGTAGAAATGCCTTGCTAAGGTTCCTTGGAAGATGGGGGTAGTCCATGATTGGAAGAAGGTCATGCTCAAAGAAAGAAGAAGAAAAAAAGACTGAAGATGTGTGGAGTAAACCTCGCAAACTACTGGGACAATGGCGGGGAGTGGCTCCATCGAATGGTGCGGAGCGTCGTCATCATGGCAGGCGGTCACCAGCGGATGGCCCTCATTATGCAACCATGGTTTTTTCCATCTCCTGGCGGCATCGTCTTCTCCATGGCTCGCCGATCAGTGCCTCGACCTATAAGAAAACCAGATGCATTTTTGTGAAGCTGTATAACCCTTTGGTCTAAACGCTCTTATATTAGTTTTTTTTACGAGGTGCTCTTATATTAGTTTAGAGAGGGAGTACAGATTAACTCGGTTGATATGCCTTGATTTATAAGCTAGCTATATACTCCCTCCGTTACAACCATTTTTAGGACAAGTATTTCCAAACGGAGGGAATACATGGTAAGTAATCAGGCATATTTCTACCCATCACATCACAATCGTACACATACAATTACTACTAACAGATATTCTAACACACTGTCGCAGCTCGCCGGGGTTAATTAAAGCTCGGATTGGAAGAACGGAGCGGGGGAAGTATTGGGTGTGGGACTGCTCGTGGTGATGTGACTCCGTGATAATGGGCTCTAAGATGATTATCATTATTATGTGGGCTTCTAAGACCGGCCCAGTGGATCCTGATGCCCCTGATTTGGTCAAAGAATTTATTTTTTGTTTGGTTTGTTTATTAATCTAGGAGCTGATGACTGTGAGCGTGTAAAACAGCTTGCAGCACCCAAGTCTAAGGTGAGAACATTCTGGGATACTTGTTGGCACCCAGTATTAGCTAGTTTTCGAAGCAATTAACATTAACAAGATTAAAAGGGCCCATGGTAGATCCATTAACAGCACTCCTCCTCCTGCCAAGAGCAAACCTCCTTCAAAATGGAATTGATCTCCCGTGTTTTACGCCCTTGGATATTGAATTCAGCTCAGTGATGGCCGATGCAGCCCGCGCCCTGCCTGTAAACCGTGCCGTCCCAGAGTCGCTGCTTGAAATATCATCTAAACGCTTTTTTCGGGATATTATCATCTAAACGTTTTCTGAAATACCAGCGTTTACATCGTCGTGTCTCATTACGCCGTGGACAGGGGCGCTAGCAATAATGCAACATCTCATTCAGTCCTCTCTTTTCGAGACACTTATGGATTTCGAAATCCCACGACAAGCTCATAAGATGTATCATTACGCGGCAGACAGCAACACTGGTTTCGTGTTAACTGCAAATCGTAACATATAATCTAGTATCAAATTAATCACCGTCATGTTCCGGATTAACACAACGGCACCAGCTGCTAGCTCCCCTAACAAAAGTAAGCACAGATTCTGCCCAAAAATGATTTGGAGCGATGTGTGAGGTCAACCGACAGTTTTCAGCATGGCCCGACGATAAACCTATTGTAAATAAGGATGTACTGCCTCAGTTCCTTCCTTTTTACTCTGCATATAAGATTTGTGTCTAGTCAAACTCTACAAACATTGACCAAATTTGTATAAAAAATATTAACATCTCCAATATCAAATATACATAATATGAAACTACATTCCATAATGAATCTAAAGATATTTATTTGGCATTGTAAATGTTGATACTTTTTTCCCTATAAGTTTTAGTCAAACTAGAGAAACTTTGTTTCAGACAAAAATTATATGTAGACTAAAAAGAAACCAAGGGAGTATCAATGTATCACACAGTATACACATATGAGCACCAAGTGAAAATTGTTGGGAAAGATATAGTAAGCGAAAGGTAGTAACTTTCTGACAGGCTGTGAAAATTGTTGGGAAAGATATAGTAAGCTAAAGGTAGTAACTGAACAGGTGCCTGTCATGCTGCAATTTCACAGATCGATTCAGCAAGAACTGAACCCTCAACCAACACAGCCGTGATAGGGAAACCACCCTTATCTTTACACTGACGCAGCAAATATTTCTAGTTATTGAGAGTTTACAGAATCTGGTTATGTGGGTCCTACTTTCTGACAGTCATTCGCCTGAGAGTTTACATATGTTCTACTGTACACTTGGAGCACTTGGCATGGGAAATAGCATCTACCAGGACAGGTGCCTGGCATCCTGTAATCCCATCCTATGGCAGCTAATCAAAAGCGAGGCTATACAATTGATTCTACTTATTACAAAGAGTTTACAGAATCTGGTTCTTGGTCCTCATTTCGGACAGTCAATGCACCATCTTCATTCCGATGTGGTCATTATTATAAAAAAGAACATTGTCATGCTCAGCTCTCTAGTAGAGAGCAGGACTCTACAGCAACATAAAGCAACCTAGAACTTTTAACAGTCTAGTCAGGATTCATGTAGGAGAATGATGAACTATATTAAAAACGCAGTGGGGAAGCATAAGTAAAAAACAATGGATGGTGAAGTTGTACCCGTATTACCCCAGTCTTACAACAAACATAGTAGTATCAGTAAGTGCTTCCCCACAAAATTTTAGCTGCCCAATTTTCTGAACACCACCAATGGAAGTCCATGCAGGTTACACAAACTAATATTTCTTCACCCTACCTGTATATGCTGCAGTATTGAAGAGATAATCCACAGATAATATCCTCAACTCTTTCAAAGGCATAGAAACAGAGCTGCCACCTATGGATAACAAGCTATAGATTGAAGATATTCACTTGCATAAATAAGTGTTAGTAAAGAAATGAAAGTGCAAGCAATGCCAAACATCAATAATGTACTCTCAGCATCTTATATTACCCCACATCAACAGCTAATGAGTGGCCACGATAATTACTACTCCCTCTGTTCACTTTTGTAAGACGTTTAAGACAGCTGAAATCTTTTGTAAGACGTTTTAGGCATTTAAGACAACACTCAAAACAGTTCAATTTCAGCTGTCTTAAACGTCTTACAAAAGTGAACAGAGGGAGTACTACATGACAGCTAATAGATTAAATGACTAGGTTCATTCATACAATGACTCATTAACCTTACAAATTCTTGGCTAATAAACATTGTTCAAAGCAACAAAGACATGCACCTGAATACCAACAAATAGGAATACCACACTGTTGCCATGAAATTAGGAGTAGGTCCATAGCAAGCACTAATTTTCACAAAAGGTGTTGTCCCATGCTGAGGACGTGATGCTGCACTCATATTCAATGCCCAGCTGATTGCAATTCTGCAAAACAGGGAGTATAAGGCAGACCCATCATGCCTTCAGTGCAGATAACACTCACTTTCTGACTATCCAAGTCGTATGACACTGTCATCTCCTTCTTGTCGGTAAGGGAAATCACATTACAATCTGGATGAAATGCAAACATCTCATAATATTGACCATCTTTGCGACAATGCCTTCCAAACAGTTACAAAACATTGACAGTATGCTTCGGAGCCCACTTTCCAGTACCATAATCCTCAAGAACCCAAATATAGAGTTGGCAACCATAATGATAACCCATCTGCCATGCATACAAGCGTCCTTGAGACTGCCCAGTGTTAAAAATAACAGTTTTTTTTGGCAATGGCATTGGAACCTCCCTCCAAACTTTGCCCTCCGCGTCAACAGTGACCATTGTATTATAGTTATAACGGGTAGACAAATGCATAGTGCCATTCAAGAAGACACATATGCGTCTACTAAGATCCATGAGAGATTCGGATGCCCACTTAGTCTGCACATAAGTCCACTGTCCAGTTTCTGACGAGTAGATCGCCATTTCTCCAGGAAGAACACCAACATTGTGAGGGGTTGCAAACACCACAAAGCGGGATGGAACAGCGGCTTCGAAGCCCAAGTAAACACTTGGTGTGACGTCGTGGCTGCCCTCTTATCCTGACCCAGAAATACCACAGGAGGTAGCACAATCCACTCTTGTGTGGCAGGATTGCACACAACATAATCACGTTCGCGTGGTAAACACGAATTCCAGCAGTTGCAGAGGAGAAGACTGCCGCAGACTTGTTCGACATGAACATTTTAGTAGCTGTGGCGCAAGAAAGGGAGAGATGGGTCGGGAGGCGGACCTCTCCCTTTCAAGTTGCAGAATCTGAGAGCCTGTTTGGATGGCTGCCAAAGGCTGCCTTTCCAAAATTTTGGTCGTTGACCACAAGATGGGCAGCCGTTTGGATTGCAGCCGAATCTCCCGATGTCTGCCAATTTTTTGGCCAGCCGTTGTGATTCTGTTCTAGTACATGGGCGAGTTCTCGGCGGCGATTTCCTTCGCCAAAAATTTGGCAGGCCATCGTTTTGGCAGGGCTGGTTTGGGTTCAATCCAAACAGCCCCTGAGAGCATCGCCTTCATCATGGTAGAAGAAGCCGGAGAGAGTCTGTGGCGACCTCTTGCGGATGTCGGGGGCGGAGCAGAGGGCGAGCCACGGCTTGGACACGCACTTGAAGCGGCAGAGCGAACTGTAGGGCACCCGCGAAAGGATCTCGACGAGGGCGCCCTCGGGAACGTTCGGCATGGGCTGCTGCTCCTGCTCCAGATTCTCCTGTGCAAATGATAGCAACGGCTAGTTCAGATTCCTGATTCCTTTTCTTGGATCCAAGATTGGTGGGAGGTCTCGTTAGGAAAAAAAAAAGGAGATCGAAGAGGCGTGGAGCAAACCTCGGAAGCTACCGGAGGAACGTCGGGGAGCGGCGGCGTAGAATGGGGCGGGGCGTCCTCGTCGCGGCGGACGGTCGCCGGTGGGTGGCTCTGCACCGTGCTGACATGCTCGCCTTCTCCTTCTCCTTCTCCTTCTCCACCTCCTGGCGGCATCGCCTCCTGCCCCGCCCGCAGATCCGTGCCTCGAGGCAGTCGATTGGACGGTCGCGACGCCGGCCGCCGCTGCTCGCTGATCTGGGGCTAGGGCTCGGAGTGGGGAATGGGGAATGGGGCGGCGGCTGTGGCTTGGGAGCGTGAGTGACAGGGGAGTGGACCGTGAGAGTCTGTACTCGGGCTCTAGGATTAGTGTGGGCTCTAGAAACGGCCCAATGGATCCTCATAGCTTCTCAGCCCTCTCAACTCCCCTGCCTTTTTTTGCCTAAAAAAAAAACACCCCTGGTTTTTTTTTGGAAAGGGTGTAAAAGAGTTTTGCATCAGCAGAATGTATATAGGAGCGATTTTGTATGTGCTGGTACTACATAGATTATGAATTTTGTCAGTCTTCGAAGCAATTAGTAAGACGCTACTACTAACATGGATCATTGCTTGATTTGCATGTTAACAATACTTGTGTCCCCACGAAGAACTTGCGTAGTGAATTAACAATACGTTTGATTTGCATGTTAATATCGTGATGGCCTTTTTCAGTAATTTTAATATTCTTGCAAATTTTTAAGGGGGGTGTACCAAAGCACCTGTATTTTTTTCTTGGAAATCAAATCGTATTCAAAAGAAAATTGAGGAGAACAAATCGTATTCAATTAAGACGCAACCGATATAGCCCGCAACCTTCTTTCAGCAGCAGCTGAAAAACTTGATCAAATTCATATGGTGTTGCAAGTTTGCTCGAGTTCACCCACTCCCCCTTTCCAAACTTTACTCTTTGATTAGTTATTGCGATCATGTCGCACACCCAGTGGTCTTATATCAAACAGGTATGGTGGAACATACCAAAAACCGTTATGGATCCATCTAGCAATATATGACAAACTACCTCCGCAAGCTGCTGAATACTCTGGTTGGCCCTGTTGGCATGAAAACACCACCACCGGCACTACCTACTACTACCCATGTAACTTCTATAGGATGCTTTTAGAGTCTATTGCTCAATGGACAAGCTGGAGATCTCAGAGTTCAAGCAGCAAAGGTTTGACTCGCCGGATCGAGACATCCCGGCCTCCACACTTCGTTGCCCAGACTGGAGGTGACGCCTTCCAAACAGTCAAAACTGTCAGACCTTGTCCGAACTCTCAAGCTCCCTTCCTAGTTTGACATGCTAATCATCTCACCTGCATGCAATTATTACGAGGCATGCTTCTTGTTATCTAGCTGAGCAGTATTGCCTTCTTTGAATTATTATGCTAGTGAAACATGATAATCAATCTAACCAGCTTCCTTGACACTTTTGTTTTCTGAAATACTAGCAGCTATACAGTAGGACGCAACATCTCATCCCGTCCTTGCATTCTGAGACACTTGTGGATTCTCTTCTCCTTTTGTCCGAATGGTGGACAACAACATTAGCATGATTTGAATTGCACATCACACCACATAACCAACACAACTGTTTGGAGGCAAAATGTTCAACGTCACACACCAAGTGAAGGTTTCAGTATAGAGCAACAACTGTTGGATCTATCACATACTCCCTCCGTTCCTAAATATAAGTCATTTTAGAGATTTCAATATGAACTACATACGAAGCAAAATGAGTGAATCTACACTCTAAAATATGTCTATATACATCTGTATGTAGATCGTATTTAAATATCTAAAAAGACTTATATTTAGAAACAGAGAGATTAGTACACACTAGGCTAAAATTTCAACACCACTTATAGAGCACCAGGTGAAGATTGCTGGGGAAGCTGGTAAGCTAAAGCCTAAAGGTAGTAACTGAATCCCATCATAATGCTAGAATAGGTGCCTATCATGTTGTAATTTCACAATCGGTTCAGCGGGAACTGAACCTTCAATTTACCAAAGCCGTGATTGAAAAACCACCCTTATCTCTAGATTCCCGCGACAAATATTTCTACTTACTGAGAATTTCTAGAATCCGATTTTATGGGTCCTAGTTTCCGACAGTCAATGTGTCATGTTCTAGTGTACACTTGCAGGACTTGGCATAGAAATTAGCATATGATGGAGCACCTACTGACCTGCTAGAACAGGGGCTGACATGTTGTAATCCCATCCCTGCCTGATGGCAGCTAAACAAAAGTTAGGGGAATGCACCATGTTCTACTTACAAAAAGTTTACACAATGTTTGGGATCCTCATTACAGTCAATGTACCATGTTCTAGTGTACAACAGACACACAAGCGCAAGGAACACAGGTCTTGCTGGGGGAGCAGCACAACAATCCCCTAAAACAACCTCATGCCTGATTTAATCGAATAATCTGGTTTTTGGTTGCTCTGTTTATCTACTAGCTGGTGACTGAAAGTGTGTAAAAGAGATTGCAGCACCGAAGTCTACACTGAGTTGGTTCCATATAACATTCTCAGTTTCCACTTGTTCTTTTGTGAGAGAAGATAGAGCTTTATTGATCACATAATATCGGAACACAAAGATTTCCGAATGCATTCCAGATCATAACTTGAAACAAAAGCGGAGCTAGGAACAACATAGGACCTAGCTAAAATGTGCGCCGCTTCATTGAGAGAATGACTAACGTGACAAAAGGCCACTGAAGAGAAGCCAGCCGCCATCCATCTGATGTCCGCCACCACAGAGCCGACGACGGATCCATCCTTTACTAGCAGACCTTCGTTGTAGCGAGCATCGTTACGTGCCTCCCATATATGCCAGCAGCCAACAGCCAGAAAGTCACACAGCCAATGTTTCGCAGAGGTGCATCCCTGACTATTCAGGCAAATACAAAAAACTATTTGACCTTCCGCCACACCTCACGAGCAAACTGGCAAAAGAGAAGTGTGTGCTCGATGCTTTCCTCTCTTCCACTTGTTGGCACCCAGCTTTAGCTAGCTTTCCAAGCAAATAACAAGGTTAAAATGACCTATTCTAGATCAACTGACAGCACTCCTCTTCCAAATGGAATCGATCTCCCCTGTTTTCGCCCTTGGAAATCGAATTCAGCTCAGACTCTGCGGATGCAACCCACGCCCTGCCTGCAAACCGCGCTATCCTGGAGTCACTGCTTGAAATATCATCTTAACGCTTTTGGGTGAGATAATTATCCTTGGCGAAACGTGGTGAGCATTCTGAAATACACTAGCAGTTACAATGGCGCATCTCATTACACGGTAGATAGGAACACCAGCAACCACGCAGCATCTCACTCAGTCCCCTCCCTCTTTTTTTAAACGTTGCCTCATATATTAATAATTAATTAAAAAGAGAGTAGAGTAATGCGTTACAGGACCCCAGCACAAAGTGAATCACTCTCCCACTACAATTGTTCCCAATTTTTTTTGCACCCGTGGCGATCCAAAGCTTGGCCTCCATTCGTCTCTTTATGAGACACTTACGGATTTCAAAATGCCACGACATGGCAGGCTCATCACATATGGCATTCAGGCAGCATTCAGACTTATGCTCACAAGAGTCTTGGCAGGCTCATCATTAGGTGGCAGGCAGCAACACTAGAGCATATGACTCATCACATTAATCACTAGTAACAAATGTCAGCACATGTTATCCCCAAAAGAGTTTTGAAAGTAAGGTGTGAGATCTTGGCATGGGAAATATATAGCATCTGCTGTAACACCTGCCAGGACAAGTGCCTGGCATCCTGTAATCCCATCATATAGCAGCTAAACAAAAGTCAAGGGAGAATGCCAACAAATATTTCTACTTACAAGAGTTTACACAGAATCTGGTTTGGCGTCCTTATTTCGGACAGTCAATGCACCATGTTCTGGTGTACAACACTTGGAATTGGAAATAACATCACATCTGCGATGAGTAGCAAATCTGTTGTCATGACAATTATATATAAAAAAACGCCGTCCTGCTCAGGTTCTCATATAGAGCAGGACTCTAAACAAAAAGTAGGCCAGAACTTTAACACTCTAGTCAGGATTCATGCAGGAGAATGATGAACTAAGTCAAAACAAGAATTGAAAATGCACTGGTAGAGTATAAGTACTTTAGTGATGAATGGTGAACTAGTACATATATTACCCCAGTCTCTCTTACTACAAACATATCAATGAGTGAACCATGTTATCATTTTCCTCTCATAAAGTCCTCCCTCCTGTGCCAAACAAAGAATATGCAAAAATTATGATTTTGAGTTTTGTTTAGCTTCCAAATTCTGAACACCATCAATCGAAAGCCATGCGGCTACACAAAAGAAAACCAATATTTCTTCACCCTTACCTCCATATGCTGCAATATTGAACATTTATTCCACAGATAACCATCTATTCTCAGCTCATACAAAGACACAGAAACAGAGCTAACTTTGATGGATAACAACCTGTACACTGAAGACATTTACTTGCATAAACAAGTGGAAATAAAAACGTGAAAGTGCAAACGATATCAAAGATAGATAATACACTCCCATTGTCTTATATTACCCTACATCAAGAGCTAACGAGTGGCCACAATAATTATTATTACATGACAGCAAATAGATTAACTGACAAGGTTCATTCATAAACTAAGCAGTACCCTTATAGTGACTTTGCTGACAAATATTGTTCAAAGCCACAAAAGATATGCACCCAAACACCAACAGAAAGGTATACAAAACTGTAGACATATGAGTTTGAAAATATATCTAAGCAATGGCATGAAACGAGAAGAGTATGCCCCATAGCAACCACTGACCCTTTAGTGACCAGCTGATGACAATTCCTCAAAACAGGGAATATAAGGCACACCATATATGCCTTCAGTGCTGATAACATGCACTTTCTGATTATCCATGTCATACGACAATGTCATGTTCTTGTCGGTAAGGAAAATAATATCACAATCTGGATGAACTGCAAACATCTGATAGAATTCATCATCTTTGCGAGAATGCCTTCCAAACAGCTCCAGAACTTTAACAGTGTGCTTTAGGGTCCACTTTCCAGTAACATAATCCTCAAGAACCCAAATATGGAGTTGGCAATCATGGAGATGATCTATGTGC